CCCCCCGCCGAAACCGATTTAACGGCGGTAGTTTTGGCTGGATTCAGAGACGGAGAAGTCGAGAATAGGCCGGAGAGAGTCGCCATCTTCGACAGCGATGTTGACGAGAGAGAGAGAATCAGAGAGAGGCGGAGTGAGAGAGAGAGAGAGATTTTTTTTTGTTTTTCTTTTTTGTTTTTTTATTTGATATTTTAGAAGCGGACCAATGAACCGAAACGACTCAAAAGAACATCAGATTTGTCCTCTCGTGTTGCGAACGGCTCAGATGAGAACAGAAAGAATCTGATTTGACGAAAATACCCCTGTAGGTTAGTTGTATTACCACCTGCCATCAGATTCCGTAGAATCTTGGAATCAAATGGAATCTAAACGCAAGTGACGCTGCCGATTACTAATCCAACACAAACTTAATATAAAAATCGAATGAAAATAAATTTGAAATTTGTGAAAAAAAAAATTAATTGTAAAAATAAAAATAAAGTAGAAAAACTAAGACTTTCTGAAAAAAATAGAACATTTTTTGTAAATAAAAACTGAAATACCAAATAATTATATTTTTCTAAAATGGAAAAAAAATACCATAACCTGAAATAGTCGCCTTTACAACAAATGAGTTTGGTGCGCAACTAAACGGGCTTTTCTTCAAGAAACTAAGGAATCAAGCAACTCGAACACAGACAACAGTTTCCTGTCTTTGCACATCGACTGAACCACAACACTCCAAGATCCCGGCTCCGGTCTGAAACCCATTTCCACAAATCCAGTCAGAATCCTAACCCCGATATCCGCCTTCCCGGATTCGCAAACCCTAACCACCACCTCGTTCCATGTCGCATGGTGAGGCCAAAACCCTCTTTCCGACATCAAACCCATCAACCCTACGGCCTTCATCAGCTCGCCCTTTTCGCACAATGCATTCAGTACGATCCTGTAACTCCCTTTGTTCAGACGAACTCCCTCACTCGTCAACTGCTTCAGCATCTCAAGGGCTTCGTCTAGTCTTCCTTCCTCCCGGGATAAGCCCCGGAGTACGACATTGTAGGTTAATGCATCAGGTTTACACCCGGTTTCTTGCATCTCTCTGAGCAGATCTATTGCCTCATCTGTTTGACCGTTTCTGCATAAGCAGTTCATCAATGTGGTATACCATACTGTATCCGGTTTCAAACCAACGTTCTTCAACTCGTCAAAGATTTGTTTGGCTTCCTGAACTCTTCCCTCTCGGCTAAACCCGTTCATCAGAGCCGAGTAATTGTACAAGTTCGGGTTGCAGCCATTGTTCTTCATGAAATCTATGATACTCCTGGCTCTGTCAACTTCCCCTGCTTGGCAGAATCCGTTAATCAGAACGTTGTAAGTCAAGGAATCGGGCAAGAGCTGCTCTTTCGAGATCATCTCCTCAAACAGTTCCATAGCTTCTTTAAACCTTCTCTCTGCACACAGGCCGCCCATTAGGGTTGAGTAAGTAATCAGATTCGGATATGAAACTCTGGATCTCTTCATCTCCTCGACAACTTCGAAAGCAGAACAAACATCTCCATTCTTACAGTGGTGCTTAACTAATATATTGAAAATGCAAGTATTCGGCTGTAACCTAAGACGCTGTTTGGCGTGCAAGAGTATTTCCCGAGCCAAATCAACCTTACCCGAATCAACAAGAAGATTGAGACAAGTACTTATGGCATTGAGAGAAGGCTTTTCACGGGCAATCGGCTCGATCATGTAAAACATCTCCACCACCTTCTCATGTAAAGAGAATCTAGAGAAATGCTTCATGAGATTAAGAAACACTCCCTCGTGAATCTTGCAAGTGTCATACTTCATCCGGTGAAGAATTGCGTCGACGGCCCGAAACTTCTTGCACCTCGCAAGCTTATCCAGAACAACAGAATACGTATCGTTGTTGTGGTTGAAACCCTTTTGCTCCGACACCTTGTTGAACACATCCAATGCGCGTTCAGGATCTCTCTCGCACTTGATCAAGTTAATGGCGGCTACATGCGTGATGAACTTGTTCTTCCTCCTAGCTTCCAGTGAGGAGCTCGAGGATTCGGATGGTGGGTCAGGTTTCTTATCTGCATACCGGAGAGGAGACACCCATGACAATGATGATGAAGACAACGAACGGACATGGCTACTGAGAATCGAAATCCGGAGACGCATGAAATGGCGATTTCAAATCCGCCCTAAACCCTAAACCTCAGGGATGGTGTCGGCACCACTGAGCTCGAGTTCTCTTGGAGAAGGAATCAATCAGTGGGTAATAAGCAAAATTTCTGCAGAACCCAACAAGAATCAACCATCTAAAACACCAAAAACCACAAATTCCCAAAAACAATTCATCGCGCTAAATCGAATAAACAGCGAACTAGATCTTCGATGTCAAGCTTTCAACCCTGGAAAAGACAACTAACGATGACGAAGATGGCGCTGATTGATTCAGACCGAGAAACATCGAACAATCTTGCTCACTGAGATGTTACAAAGCCCCCCATAAACCTGCAACGTTTATGCGTTGAAGAAGCCTCACGAACCGCGCTTTGCTTCAATGGGCTTTCTCTGTGATCTGCTACGCTCGAGCTTACAGTAACTCGTTATCAATCCGTTGGCAAATGTCGACGTGGCATAAATATATTGGCTGGTTTTGACGGTTGATCTCGGCGTCAGACGTACATTGGGCTTGGACCCAATCTGGAATTTAAATTATTATATTTCACTGGGTCAAGCTCATATTATTTCATTTTGGGCCGAACTAATAGTAGGGCTTCTTTTTTGTGTTGCCACGTGGACGGCCCCGATGCGGCGATTACGTGTCTATATCGGCATAGGGGAAAAAATTGCCCTAATCGATTTTATATATTAAAACGAAAAAATATTAGCGCTAATCCAAAGCATGTGAAAAACAAATAAGCATGGAAAAAAGAGCAAGGGACAACAAATAAATATTCGGTGTCTCATCTTTAACATATCAATTGTCCTCAAAGCCCGGCCCATTTGTCACCTAAAGCAACTTTTTATTTATTTATTTTCTAAATAACATTTTTAATTTCTAAATCAAATAACAAACAGTAGATAGATATAATTTTTAAAAAACTCAATTTAATGTACACAAAAATATAATAACTTTGGTTTGATTTCGAAATAAACATTTTTAATAAAATATAAATCAAATAATTATCATTTTTAAAAACCTTAAAAAATATATATATACAAAATAACAAGAAGTGAAAGTAAAACCGTATCATATTCATATATTTTTATATAGCACGGGTGTGCGTGAAAAAAGACAAAACTACGGGGATGCATTTTGGGTTCCCGGGATATCAAATGTCCTCATGGATGATGTGGATCGAGTGTAGCTGTAGTATTCACGAGTGCGTATATATTCGTCGTTATATAATTAATGGAGCATTTGGGACCAAAAAATTTAAATAAAATTTGTAATCAAAAGACACTTGAGATTCGGCGGATGTTCTGGATGTCTGACTCTGCCTGTCTTGCCACGGCGTCGCAGGTTTTAATTTGCACATGCCCACTCTCTCACACATAGATATATATATATATATATATATACACACACACCATGCACGATATTCTACACACATATATTATATTATACAAGCTTATATGCATCGTCGAATTAATTAACGCTCACAAAAAAAAAACAATGATTAAAAAAAAAATCAAAGATGTGGTGAGTAATGAATTTGTTCCGACGACTTGTTTTACTAGTCCTTGAATTATGAAAGGAGATCTAAAAATAGTACTAATCATTTTCCTTAATATTAATATTATATATATATATATATATAATAAAAGTGGCTAAATACCGACTCTTTTTTCCCCTCAAAGACGGGTTAGATAAGTTTTTGAATTGAATGTCGATCATACAATTTTTGTAATGACCCACGATCCATTGATTTTTAGAATTTCTAGACATATGGTTTTATAAATTTGTCCACGCATCTAGTTTTTAGTCCGACAACCATTGTAATTTTATTATTTGAAAATATGAAATTAAAATATTCAATTTCTAGATCTACCTGGTGAATCGTTGTAATCTTATCGTTGTATACATACGTATACTCATATAGGTGTATGTATATAGGCAAGAATACTATAAATTGATAGTACTTTTTGGCCTTTGGTTCGTTATTAGAGAAACTTTCTGTCTTTAACTTTGTGACTATAAAAATGAAAATTATAAATGCAGATTGGTTTCTGTATCTTATTGGGGTAGTAAATTGTCAAGGACCATGTTTGGATTTATTTAATACGAAGTGAGATGCTTAGAAATATTGAAAAATAATAATATAAATAATCTATATGATTAAATTTACGTGTGTGTATATATATAATATCATTATAACTATTCAAATACTATCATTTCATCTATCACTTTAGACATGGAATTGCCAAGCGTACCAAACATTTGAATCACGATTAAAAAGTGAAAAATGAACAAGATATTGCGTTCGAATTCAAATTCATGTTGGAACACCGTAACAATTCGCTATTTTAGGATATCAAAATTCAAAATTCGCTATTTCGATTTAAATTATTGTGGATAATCTCAAACTTTCAATTATCATAGTTTAAACCCGTGATTTTCCAAATAGTACTTACTTGTAGGAATATGATCAAATAGTCTTATGGAATATTATATATATATATATAAACAAACATACACACATATGACACATTGTATACTATGATATACGTATATATATATACACATCAACTTTGTATCTTAATTTACATATAGTCATTCCCAGCATTCGAGGACCACACAAAAGACTATAAGGGCCCGAAATTAACGTTAAGCACGATTGGGAATCAAATTGGTTCTATGTGAATAATCGAAATCCTATATAAGTATATATATATATATATGTGTGTGTGTGTGTGTGTGATATTATTTTACATAAATATATCTATATAAGCATGCGCAGCATATATATATATATAGGATGCATGCAATGGCAGTGAGAAAGTCAGTCAAAGAGCAGGTATCGAACTAATCAACTTCGTCATATGCTTCATCATGGGTTCCCACAACATTAAACTAAATACACCCATTAATTAACACACACACACACACAAATATATATATATATATATATATATATATATATATATATGTTTCGTTTGCAAACATGGAATATGTTAATTAAACCGGGATTCTGATATTAATATAGTGATTATATTGAAATCGATATAGCATATAAATATAATATATGTCTCCGTAGATGGCACGGTAAATTTGAAATAGAAAATTTACTCAAGTGTGACATCTCAAGTTGGATATTTAGAAAAAAAAATATACACCCATTTGAATGGATTTGCTAGATATTATAAAAAAAATCTATAATAAACCAATAAAACTATGTAGATCAACCAACAAATAGTAAGAAACGAATTGAAATATCATGCTAGCATGGATTTATGGAATCCGAAAGTAATCTAGCCAATATTCAAAATCTATGTGAATAATCGAAATCCCACAATTGATTTTTGCAACAATGATTATAGTTAATGGATTTGACTCGAAGTTGCTATAAAGGTTTTTATAATTAAGGCCTGCATGTAAAAATTAGGGTTAGGTTGGATATTTGGGTATGCAAGATCAAATTTAATAAAAAAATATAATTGTACCTAAATCTAATTCAATATAAAAATCAATTGGATATTTTTAAACCAAATTATTGGAATTGAGATCAAATTTGGATCGGATCGTTTTTAAAAATAAATCTAAAAACATTAATAACCCGAATCTAGAAATGTCTATTGCTGATAAAAAAAATGGAATAAGAGACATTATCCCTTGAGACTAAAACGAAAATTTTATATATACACACAATGTTTTATAGTAAAAACAAAAAGGAAGAATATTAGGAAATGTGAATGACAACCTGGTCAGCTCGGATCTCAAACAACTAAGACCCGTTTCTCTTTTGGACCGAACTCGAGTGGCCGAAAGAATAATTAAAATTAAAATAAAAATTAAAAAGTCTTTACAAGACTGGTCAGAGAGAGCTGACGCGAAATTGAACCCATATGCCCAATTTTTTTTTTTTTGTAGACACTGACTTCTCACTGCCAAAAAAAAAATTGCAAACGAGAAAAAAGTATATATATTCAAAAGCTACAAATTGAAAGGTAAAAAAAAAGGGAGGTAAAAAGGGGTTGGAATTTGTGTCAAACTGTAAAAAAAAAGGTAATTTCAATTAATATTATTTTCATTTGAATTTCGTGTTTCTTTTGGTCGAACAAGTTCCTGCGTGAATGAATGCTCGCTTCCAGAGAATCCTAAGTGAGACCCTTTTTTATATGAATCACGTTTTCTCAACTCTTTGTAACAATATTATTTGATTCCGACGCAATATTTTTTTACGTTATGTCACGACCGAAAGTTTTCACGAATTATAACTTGGAATGGTCAATTTCATTTTTTTTTTGGGTGTAAAATCAATTTCAAATTGAATAAAATAAAATGAATCAATTTCAAATTGAATATACAGAATAATTAAAAATTAAATCAAATGAAAGTTAAAAATATATATAGACTGTTTTTAATTAAAACTGAAGATGAATTTCTAAATCCCAACAAAAAAAAAACTACAAATAGAACAAAAATCTCACATAAAATTGAATATCGATATTTTTTCAAAATCGGAAGCAATATTGTTTGAATGCATTTAGCATGGAGATTTATGGAAGTTGTTGTTCATAACAAATTTATCACTAAAGTGAAAAAAGTGGTGTAAAGCTTACTTCTTGTTAATTCATCGTGGGTTATATTTATTATGTGGGTGATATTATATATTCAATTGTATTTTGATTCAGTTATTTTTCAAATTTATTTTTTTAGATTTAACAAAAACATCATTATTTAATTTTAATATTATTATTAAATTTAAATATACAAAGATTTAATTTTTATTAAAAAGTTATTTAATTTCGAAATAAACACTTGCTTATAGGTTATGTTCTTCGACACTTTTGATTAAATTAAATTATGGGTTATTAAGTTTAATTGATTCTATTATATTGTTGGAACGCAAATATACATCCGATTTTAGTATACCATATTTCATATATAAGGTTGGTATTATATAAAACACGTATTATAGAGAAGTTGAACATTTATCAATTTCATATTTCTGCACATGACCCCTGATTTTGGAATGCTGTGTGACGCGACGTGGAAACATTTAGAATTTCTAGATCTCAAAGTACCAAAAAAGACAAAAAATAATATATATATATATACACACATAAATTAAAGAATAAATAATCAGATAATGATAATTGATATTTATAAAGTACCTTGTCGAGGGGCATCTAACAACGTTTATAAAAATCGAAGCAAAAATAAAAGACACATCCATTATATGTTTTATTCATATATATATATATATATATAGTTGAGGTAAACACACACACACATAATATATATATATATATATTGAAATATATTCTCACACCATTACCAACGTAAATGATGACAATTTACCGAAAGTAAAGTTTCCCAAATCACTTGGCAGTGCACATGCTGCCATTTGAAATTTCAACTTTGCTTGGTTCCTCTAAATAACCGCTAAATCGAATTATAATCTAAATTATTTGGATATGTGGTTTACTTTTATATTTACAATTCAAAATCAAATATTTATATTTATTTTTAATTATAAAAAAATCGTTATCGAATCTATGAATTTCAAGATTTTCGAATTTATAAAAATGAATTTATAAGATGTGATCATTTATTATAATCTATCATAAATTGATTAGATATAGAACAGTACAAAAGCTATTTAATTTCATTATAACCAACATTGAGAATGTATAAAAATTCTTTTCGAGTATTTCCAATGAAGGCGAAAATTTATTTCTTGGCCAATATTGCTAAAATTTGAAAATTAAATCAGGAATTGAACGTATTTTATTGCAAAATGGATGAATATTTTTCTTTCCAAGCGTTTAAGTTTGGCATCTAAGATCTGATTTTATTCGGATTGTCTTTCTATTTAAATATAAAATCCATAAATTTATTGTTCGTCATAACTCTGCCACTTCGGACAGTAGTAGTTTAGTTTGTTTTTTTTTTCCTGATTTCTGACATATTTTTCAAGGTAAAATGATTTATCAATATATCAAGTGATATTTGTATTATAAAGGGACACGTGTCACCCTGGGAAGAAAAAGACAGAGAAGTATCCATTGGTCACTTTCACACACCTTCCCTTTCTTCTTTGTGTTTTCACATTTCGACCCCTTTTGTCGTTTTCTGATCCAACAGACACGTCATTTTACTTTTTCCCATTTTCAATTTGACCCCTACTTTTAGAATATAACGATTTAACCACAAAAGATTGATTTTGGCAATACGGATTCAAGAAAGCTCGTTACATTTTTGTGGAGATTAAATTGTTCATAATTTATTTTGATGATATTTAACATCGACCAACTTTTTTTAAAGCAATATTTAGTTTCAGACATAAAGATAAAATCTAGTGCTAAATAGGTTCTTTGAAGGTGAAAGTCAATATCCAATAATACTGTAAATTCTTAAACAAATATATCTAATATCTTATAAATTCATAATTAAAAGATATAAATTTTAATTTTTAGAGTTTCTAATTGCTACATGATTTTAATGAAAACATATATAATTTTTTTAAGTTTTTCGTTAAATATATTATTAAATGATATATGTGAAAATCTCAAAAATATAAAAAATTATTTATTATTTAAAATTATGACTTCATAAATTTGTAGAATGTTATTTGTATTCGCTTATTTATTTGAATAATTTTGTAAAAAAAACGTAGATATGATGTTATATTTTTATGTTTATATGTAATTTTCGTGTAATTGCCTTCCATTTTCGAAACAACGCCAATATACTCTCTTTCCACATCGAATCGTCGTCGTCGTCCCCCCTCCCCTCTCTATCTCTGCGCCTTTTACCCTAAAAAGAGGCATCGGTTCTCCTCCATAAGACCCTCTTCTTTGTTCCTCAGTCTCTCTCAGGCCTCTCTGTCAGCGAGCGAGCGAGCGAGAGAGAGAGAGAGAGAGAGAGAGAGAGAGAGAGAGAGACTGGTTTTTTTTGTTTGTTTTTCTCGATCCTTTTTGCTGCAAATCTTTAGATACCGAGAGTGAATACACACGAACCCACTTTCGGCTTCATCGTTTTTTCTCCAAAAAAATCTGGTTTTTCGCTTTTTGGTCGGGAAAAAAGTCGATTCTTTTTCCGTGGGCGATCGAAGTTTTCATCGATGGCGCCGGGTTTTGACTACGCTGTCGTGTCGAGCCTTCTTTGTACCGAAGACGACAGTGTATTCGACGATAATGATTGCTACGAGACCACAAGCTTCCTCAGGAATGATCGAACCGATTATCATCATGGCCGGAACTCTTACGGCGGCGCCGGAGTCGTCGTTGCGCCGCCGGAGAGCGAGGAAGGTCTATCTTCGTTGATTTCTAAGGAATCTGAGCATTTACCGAAAGATGATTACATGAACAGACTTCGAAATGGCGATCTTGATTTGGTTGCTAGAGCCGAAGCCATTGATTGGATTTGCAAGGTGAGTGTATGTTCTGGTTCTGTAGTAAGAACAGTGGCTTAAATGGGTGTTGATTACTGCCGCTTTTAGTTAATTAGGATGATTAACCAATGATTAACACTAATGATGTTCATCCTCATTAACTCAGGTTCATGCCCATTTTGGCTTTGGACCCCTCTGTTCATATTTGTCAATAAACTACATGGACAGATTCTTGTCCTCCTATGAATTGCCTGTAAGTTTCCATCCAGTTCCATCAGAGGATTAGATAAAGTCTCAGTTTTTTTCCCTTTTTGCCAGTGAATTTGATTGTTATCTTAATTGAAAATGTGATGAAACAGAAGGGAAAAGCCTGGATGATGCAATTGTTGGCTGTGGCATGTTTGTCCCTTGCTGCTAAAATGGAGGAGACTGAGGTTCCTGTCTCTCTAGATCTACAGGTTTGGCCTCCATTAACAATGCCCATGATTAAAGACTTCTCATTTCGAATAGTATTTTCGGTAAAAAGGGTGTTGAAATATGAACAGGTGGGTGAGTCCAAGTTTGTGTTTGAGGCAAGAACCATACAGAGAATGGAGCTTCTTGTGCTCAGCACACTGAAGTGGAGAATGCAAGCAGTGACACCATTTTCGTTCTTGGATCATTTCCATTCCAAGATCAATATCGACCAATCTCTCCAAAGACTCGCAATCTTGAGATCCATTCAACTCATATCGAGCACACTGAAAGGTTGGTAATGGAATTAGAACCTGCTCTTTTACAAGGGATACAGATAGATGTAGCAATCAGAGAATTGAATGAGGGAGGATGATGATTGGTACGAGGGATGGGCTTAATGTGCTCAAGGTTTTTTTTGGTGGGTGTGTTGAATAAATGCAGGGATTGACTTATTGGAGTTCAAGCCTTCTGAGATTGCAGCCACTGTTGTGATTTCTTCTGCAGAGGAAATTCACAATGCCTTCGACAGTGAAATGGCACTCTCTGCTCTATCTCCATATGTTTCAAAGGTGAAGAGAGTAAAAACAAAACCCATCTTTATTGGTCCAATCTCACGATCTTGCCATGAATTGATGAGGGCACATGTAATAACCTCGATTTCAATCCAAATCGGTCAAAACCCTCGGGAAAAGATCGGGGTTTTTCATCGTGTTCTTCGTTTTTGTTGCTGATGTTCCGTCTGTGTGTGCTTCGATCTTTCAGGAAAGGGTGTTGAAATGCAAAGAATTGATCCAAGACCATGGATTGACGGCTTTTCCGCCACTCCAATCTGCTCCACAGAGCCCCAACGGAGTTCTTGAAGCCTCTTGCTTGAGCTTCAAAAGCGATGACTCGTCCCTCCCTCTCGTGAAACGTAGGTTGCCCCGTGAGGTCTCTCTGTTTTGACAAAACCCAAGAATATGAGAAACGCGAGGACCGAAGTTTAAACTTTTAAAATTAGGGGAGAGAAATGAAATGTTGAAGATTTTGCGGGACTCAATTGCAAATGACGAAGATGTAAAGGGTGTGTGGAGAAAAAGCGCACAAGGACGACGTTTTGATGCTTCGATTCGGCTTTGTTGTTTATTTTTTAATATAAAATTATTTATATTATATTCAGTGTAAATAACTTCGATATGTTTATTATCTAAATCGGTAATAAAATATGTATTGCCTGTAATAATCTTTTTTAAAAAATTCCAAATATTGTTCTAGAAACCGTTGGCCCGACCCGACCGTATTGCAGCATGAACATCACCCCAAACCCTCTCAGAGGTTTCTTCAAATACAACGATAATCAATTATAATTATTTGAAATAAATTAATAATTCTAATGCAATTTCCAATGCATCATCAAATTGGCATTCCATTTCTTGCATCAAAACAAGCCGTAGAGTCCAAAAATTAGATATTTAATTTAATGAACGTTGCTTGATTCGTACGGTCAGTTACAAACCAAACAAAAGATTTATATTTCTGAAAATAAAATACAACGTATTTGATTAATTAACAAAAGATTCTATAGTTTGCAAAGTGTTGCCTGCTACATGACACATACTCTACAGACTCCACTTTCATGCACGATCACGGAATTATTATTATTATTATTAATCAAACGATTTTTTATAAAATATAGTTTTTCGGATATTACTTTTTAATAATATAATAAAACCAAATAAAATCAAAAATATTTTTAAAATAAATATTTTATCAATAAAATTAACCCTAAAAAAACAACCAAGTCGAATGTCAATAAATAAAAAATATAATTTTTCAAAACCAAAACTCAAATAAAAAAAATTATGTAACCTTACCAAACAAAATTCGAAAATGCCCACCCGAACCGAACCATGACTACTTTCTAGTCATAAATGCGTCGAGCAAAATCCGCTCGTAGCAATTGTTGGGCCGAACAGAAATTTATTTGTGTAAAGTCGGCCCAGTAAAGGCCCATATTTTATTAATACGGTGCCCTCGCATCTTTTGTTGCTATTTTATGTACCCCTTTTCTCTGTTTCATTCATATACGCGGGATGTAAAACAAATATCTCAATCCATATAATATTTTTTTTGGTTAAGCATATATTATAATTTTATTTACGTAATAATTTTTTTCTAACGTAGTTTTCAAGAAATCGTATTTCAACAAATCAAGTTTTTTTTCTGCTAACGTATCCCTAAACTGGGAATATTGGCACGTCTTTTTGCTTGAGTATTATTATATATTTTTTTAAAATGCGACGATTTCACATTTATAGAAAATACAATCTATAATATATTTATATATATATATATATATGGAGTAAAATTAAATTTAACCTAGGAATGGTAGGTGTAAAAAAATGTGGTAGGCCCAAATGGTGAGAAGAAGAGTCAACTCATGGAAGGGTGTGAAGCCTTTGAAGGTTGACTTCATTTATTTTAATAATAAGATTGCTATTTATTTTAAGAGATAATGAGAAGGAGAGGAAGTAGTCTTACCTCTTGCTTGAAATTAGGCACGTTAATTAATGGGATTAATTAATAAACATAAAATTTTATTAAAAGAAAATATGAGAGAGAGAGAGGTTGTCGGATTCAAACAGATTGGAGTGGACAGAGGCGTGCTCGAAAGCCATGCGCCTTCTACCAAATCTCTCTTTCTCTCTCTCTCTCTCACTCTACGCGTGATCTCTCGAGATTCCTCCACGTCACTTTCATCTCCCTCTTTACCTCTTGCCACGTGTCAGTCATAATATTTAAAATTAAAAATGTTAATAATAGGTTATCTATGAAATCGGGGAAAACAACGCGGTTAACTACAGATAAATTTGATATATTATCTTTTATGAGTAAATCATACGAACCCATTTTTCTATAATTCTGTTTTATTTCAAATTAAGATGGTATTTTTTTTAAATGATTTTTTAAAAATATAAAATAATATAATTTGTTATAAACAACATTCAAGATGGGAATTATGTTTATTTTCTCATCTAATTCAGAGACAACAAAATATACAATACACTGAATTCGACCTCATATATATATATATATAGAGAGAGAGAGAGAGAGAAGGTGTATCTCTGCTCTGTACCTCAGATTTTGTGGTCGGCCTTAGCTAGATTTTCTTAACAACTTTTGCTGTCTTTTTTTAATTTTTTTTCTTTTTTCTTTTTCTCGGGAAAATTAAATAATTTTGTAATCAATTCAAACAAAATTGTGCCAGCTAATAAATAATTAGTTTTTATTGCATGCCTTGGGCTCTGACTATTTATATGCATACGTGGCCAAGAAATAGAACCAAAAAAACAAATACCACAGAAGTTTTATAAAAAACCCACCACATAGTTGATAGTTTTGATTCAGTTTGGTTTCCGAATTGATAATTTTTAGATCTGATCAAATAGTTTTTTCGAAAATCAATCGAGTTAAATTTAAAGTAATTAATTAGATATAGAATAAATCTCAACTAATCAGTTAATTTGAATTCAAATTGGTTAGCAAATATTATATTTGCTTTAAATAGAATTTGGTTTTGGCTATATTTTTTTTTAAATATCCGACAACAAATTGAAATAAAATTGAGTTAATTCTTTGCAATTCTGTCTGGATTTAATTTTTTTCATTAGGTTTATTAATTGTTTTTTAGTTCTGTGGAGAATTAATACTCCCTCCGTTTCTAAATATATATAGTTTTAAAAATCTTCTGTTGCTAATAAATACATATCGTTTTATATTTTACAATTTTTTAGTGAGAACCTTTCAACTTTACCTCTATTTAAAAACATCTCATTTCAATAGATCATTAATAAAAATATGATTTAATAAGGGTATATACCATTTTTTTTAAAAAAAATTAAAACTGTGATAAAATCTAAAAAGACAAAAAATTTGAAATGTATGGAATGGTTTTTTTTTTATCTGAGTTGATAGATTTAAGTCGTAATATTACGTTCATTTATTGGATTGCAACGTTCTTCAGAATCATGAAATCTAATATAACACTTAGAGCTGAATTTATTAATACATAATGATATGTTTTTTCTTAGTTCCATGATTTAAAAAATGTAGCTAACAAAATTTAACAAATAGTTCTAATAAATATTATTAGAATAATATCATAAATTGTTGTACTAAAAACGATTTAATATTATCTAAATGTTGACCAAGCAATTGATATAAGGTCAATGATGTCGTATAGTTTTCGAAGCGGTCATGTGATACATTTTGTGTTATTTGTTTTATAAGTTCTGACATTCGATTATTTGCACCAAATTTTTTGTATAAAAAGAAAAATTGTTGCATCGTGTTAATTCGTTAATAAATAAAGTTTAACAAACTAATAGCACATTAACGTTTATCATTTTTAAGGTAAATCATAGTGTTCATTAGCAACCTAATTATATTATTACAAATACTTTTAATCTTTATTAGGCATAACTACCACCATTTGATAATTTTTCCAATAAAAAAATGAATTTAATTTTTGGAGGCAAGACGAGGTCAATTTGTTACATATATACAATAATAAATAATGATGGCAGCAAAAAATTACTCATCCCATCATTAAATATTCACTATGGTAAGACTATTTTTATTCCAATTTTTCAACCAATGTTGTGATTTAAAGACAATGCCAACAGTAAATTAAATTCAGTGGAAATTTTTATTACAATTTTTCAACCAATGTTCTTCTATTTTCCGAATTGTAATGATGAGATTTGCCTTATTAATTTTGTAATATTTAAAAAAGAAAAGAAAAGAAAAGAAAAGTGGCCTTGTCTAAGGAGACAGTCCAACTGTATCAAGGACTTTTTCCGTGTTATAAAACATATAATTTGCATTAAATTCCCTTTAAAACAAGAAGAAAAACTGTGACAATAAATTTATAAAAGTTGAAGCATAAACATTTAAATTATCTAGCGTTTTCTATTTTTTTTACTAATTTACTGTACATCATAATGATATCAAAATTTCGCATTTTCCCTTTCATTGTGGTTGATTTTCAAATTCAGTTTTTTATTTTAAAATATAATATATTTATTTAGATTCTAATTAATTTATATTCCCTTTAGACTTGTTTACCAATTTTGTATTTTTTAACTTTGTCACTTAGTTTAAATTCAAATCGTGACAAAAAGTAACATCCAATTAGTTTTAAAACAAGTTTCGATTAGTATACGTTTCAATTAGTTTTGATTTTACTTTTATAATCCGAATCGAAATTATCTAGTTAATATATCATATTCATAATTTAATCTAAACAATTCATCTACTAGATTTGTTTTGACTAAAATATTCCATTTTTATCAAGCAATTTTAATTATATGATTATATGGTATTTGATATCCAAATTAGGCGTCAAAGTATAATTATTTTGTAAGATTAGTTTTGAAACATTTAATTTTAATTCAATTGTCAACAAAGCAAAGAAAGCGACCACCACTTCGGAATGTATTAAAAGTCATCACTTAGCATCATGAATCATCACTCGTTCTTTGCTAATTCGTTGAAATTAATAAATGTTTGTCTAATTACCATCATCCGTCTTAATTATTTAATTCCCTCTCTTTTTTTCATTTTCTTTTTTTCTTTTTATTCTATCAAGGATTCGACTGGTTGTACCGCAACAGTTGCGGTTGCGGGTGGCAGCGTTTTCAGAACGTTTGATAGCGATTATAAATGATTAGTACTGACTGGTTGAGAAGTTGTTGTTGGTAGCGATTGCGGGTGGGTGCAGTTAGAAGTGAATGGTTCATTACGGTTGCGGTTGCGTTTTGATATAAATTGTTAAAAAAAAATATTATTTAAAAATAATTTTTTATAATAGTTTTAATTAAATTTTTCGTATCATTTGATAAAAATTATTTACTAAATTTATAATAATTAAATAATAAATTTAAAATATAAATATTATCAATTTAATTTATTTTTAAG